AGTTGACTCAGTTTTCAGCACAGATAAAATTTTTTTGACCAGCCAGAGCAAGAGAACTGAACACATTAGTAATGATAAAGCCTTTCTTTAAAAAATCCCGGAATTTCATTGTCCTGGCAAATTCAATTACTTTGCTCTTTTTAACCTTCACTGAATCAGTTTCAATTCCAAAAATTTTAGGTTGCCTTGTCCTCAGCAGATTTTGGTAAACTGTATCAGGTGAGCAATGAGGACATCGATACACTGTATTATCGGAACATGCTACCGCCGAAATTTCGAAAACAAGTGGATACATTGGACGAGTGTGTTTGGTTGTACAGGCGTCCAACCCTCGAAGCAACTAACTGCTTGAAAGTTGGATTTTTGCTCATCACGCTCTGATTTTGCGCGCTTGCGTGTAATTCGTGAAACGGATGGGAGGCAAAGGGGGCACGGTTATGCTCATTTTTTATAATTCTTGAATTCACGGACATATGAATTGGCTGTTGAAACATTTAAGGCAGTAGGAGTAAACGTACCCAATTTGCGTATGGTGCTATGGGGAAGATGGGGCACTGGCAAATCGATGACTGTCTTTCAAACAATTTACTGTGTATGGAAGCAAGGATGGATCGTTCTCACAATCCCAAATGGTGAGTTTTCTGAAGAAACTCGGTCTTGCATCACTTTTTTGGAGAGGATTTAGGGAGCTGTTTTTTCCTTGAGTGGGAAAGTGTTGTTGTATTATCATAATAATTTCTGATAATCACACGAGCTTTTGGGCTTTATTTTCCGAGACACACACTTTTAATGAGTTTTGATGGGTTAGCACTGAAGAAATCAACACATTCCCGTCTTGTGCTACTCTTGGGAAGAAATACAGAAGTTAAATGACATTAAGTCTTATTAATTTGATAAGCTGTGGCGCTTTGTAGGGAAGATGGAAGAAAGAAACGATATTACGAAATGCTTTACTTTTGCGCTCCTACCCCTCTCCTTAGTTATTGGCACTGGACTGTTTGGTAGATTCTTCACGAAATGCAACCTACAGTTTTATCACGGCACATTTATTTTATAAAGATGAAATTTTTGAATACACTTGGACCATCTGTAATTAATAATTCGGCACTTCTTCTTTCTGGTTAATAACTTTTTCAGTTGCTTTGACCAGTGCTTTATGGTCTAGTGGTAGTGCTGACTTTCTTTTTTTTTCCTGAATGTAATTATCATCTGAATGGTTTTTTTTGACAGGAGCACTTGTCAAGAGTTTAGCCAGCCACTTCGAGACTTCCTTGGGACGTTGCTTTAATTGTCAGGCCCACACTAGATGAAGCGCCTTGCTGATCGGGAAGAATACTTGGAAGAATTGTTTCGTTTGGTTGAAAAAATACTGATTGTTTGTGAAACATCTGTTGAATAACGTATATTGGTCCGTTTCAGTGGCAACCCTAAAAAGAATAAAAATAGCCTTTCGAAACGGATATTTCAGGTCGAGTTTTTTGTTCTAGATGGAGGGAATGTCTCTTTCACATTTAATATATAAAACGAGCACTTTGGATTTGGATAAATTTTTGTAATGTCAGTGTTCTATGGAAATTTCGTTTCTGGACCGTAATAAACAGTAAAAATGCCACATTTTCAGCAATGCAAATAATGCGCGATTATATCGAAGTGAAGATGTCAACATATCGCGATGGCCGCATTGATTTCCCCGTGCTCGGACATCAAATTCTGAATCGATTCAAATTGATGAATACCCCTCACTGGCATAAACTAAAGGTTTTTTTGCTGAAACAACTAATTTTTTTTTGTCTGCAGCAGCGGTATTCCTTTAGTGGCAGGCCTGGTTTAGTGGCAGTTAGCTCTTTTTTGGACATCAGTCGAAAGTTTGGTTCCTTAGCGAGGTGGATTAGCTTTAGCATTTAATCGGTACTGACGCATGAAGGGGTGTCAGAACAGCCATTATCTTACTGTCAACGTCTTTTCCACTCGGGAAGGGAGGGGAGGGGGGGAGGGGGTGGTAGCATTGTGTTACGCTCGAGCCTTTTGAGCGTCTTATATTTTTGAGGGTGTAGGTTATGAAGATTTTCATTTTTGATTTCGAGTAAACTGGAAGTTGACGCAAAAACTATTTATACTTAAAGCCGAAAACCGAAGACTACGATAAATTTGAGGCCAGCCAAAAAGTTAGGCCCTGCTGTACTTCGTTCCAGTCCTCTGTTACTGTGTTTGGGAGTTAACAAAATTTTTGAAATTCTAATAAGAGAAATGTTAGAAACTAGTATGTTAGTAAACGCAACTTTTTTCAGAAGTTCCATCAAAACACTAGAACACTATTTTCAAATGTGCCTTTTTTAATATTAGTTATATCGGAAATGTAAAACGTACGTGTTTTACCAAAGTCGCTTTGCTGCATTGAGGCATTCATGTGATAACTGCCAATCGATTACACTCAATCCTTACGGTTTTTTCCCTTTCTCCTGTCCAAGATAATGAAAATCAAAGCCAATCCTAACGGTGGATGTAGTGATCCCATGTTGAGAATCTCAGCATTAACGGTGGGCGCAACTATGCCAGGTCTTCGATCCTCAGTTGCATACCTGTGGTCAATGTGCGCTTCTTTAGTATTTATAATTATATTGGTGCAAATTTTTAATTTTTACGTTTCTGCGCGAGTCTGAAAATGTGTTGCAGCCGTTTCTAATTTTGTCTGTATTTACAAATAATTTGACTGTAGGGTTCGCCAGAGCTGACCTTTTTTATTTTTTTTTTTTTTTACTTTTCTATCTCCTCTGTTTCTTTTGACTAACTCCAATGAATTTTTTAAGAAATGTAAAGCAAATTTTAGGAATGCAAAGCTCAGAAGCATTACAAGTGGTCGAAAGTGGAAGAAACAAAAGTGGGCGAACCGATCACTAACATCGTTGATATCGTATGGCTTTATGAGCAGCTTTTAATAAATTGGCGATTAGCTTTGTACCTTAGTTTTAAAAGGCATAGCTTTTTTATGAAACAGTGCTGCTGTCGATTTCAAAGGCCCAGGGTTCCACTCACTCAGTGAGACAGTCAAACCTTGTACGAATCGTTCATTCCTCTGCTGATGAACTAATACCGTTACATCAAATTATTTTGATGTAAGCAGCTTCCACATACGGGAATTATGAATAGCCTTTTCATAAGATGGTTGTTGTTGGCAGTTGCTATCATCCAGTCTGGTTGCGAGTGCTTTCGTTTTTCACAGTGAGTGAAAAAAAAAGGGGGGGGGGACACTTTGAGTTTCTAGAAGACTTCTGTTTTTCACTGATGATATTTTTCAGTTTAATTCTTTGTTAATAGTTTACGTTGGTTGTAATCCGCGAACTCTAGATCTTAAATTTGATAACTTGACTGTGAATTATGAACTGATTTTTAAAATTTAAATTTGCTGGGGGAGTATCGCACTTTTTATTAGTAATAAATTTGATATGCGGCATACTTTTGAAAATCAGTTCGCAATTCACAGTCAAATTTTCCAATTTAGTAAATGGAAGGTGTAGTGAATTTGCCATGCATGAACTTTCCGATTTTTTGTCATCGAATACTGTAAATTTGCTACTATTTTAGGGTTTAGCTGCACCATCGTTGTCATGTGATTGTGTTGGAGGCCTGATTCGAGAGTTAACTTATCACTGTAGCGCTGGCAAATTCCCACTGCTTGTTACAATCGATCATGCAAATTCGTTGTATGGGAAAACAACGCTGAAAGACACAAATCATAAGCTGGTTGATGCGAAGTATTTCAGTCTCGTTCATCACCTTCGAAAATTACTGCAGCGAAATGACTGGGTATGCATTGTGTTCCCCAGAATTCCTTTTGTTTCTTCAGGACCAGTTTTAATCAGCGTTTAAAAATCTGATCCAAAAAAAGTCTGGACACCCAAAATGCATCGGCAGAATTACCACTGAGTTACGTAGAGTAAATACTCCTTTTGAGGCCTCATTTCATTTTTAATTAAGCTTCCGACAGTATGCAGCACTCTTTAAATTATGTACGGATCTACAGAGGTGCGGCGCAACTGATGCTGTTGCTGCATACTATGACGGCACTTTCTGATGAGTCCCAAGGTTACTGTGGTGGAATGGTCAATATTTTTACTGAAAGTTTGCGATTGAGCTTGTTTTAATTCTAGCGGAGATTTGCGGCTCAAATTTGACGAGTTTTAGCCTTTCAGACAAATGGTGCCTGTTTATTGGTTGCCGATAAACGAGAAGTCAGCGATGCACGTGACCATCTTACTGTACCACTTGAAACGCCACTGGAACTGTTCGGAGAAGTAAGTTTGCATGGTACTCCTTGTAAATGGGGTCAGCTTGCGAAAATTACCCAGTTTTCCAAAGAACAGTTTCTTATTTTCCCTTACTGGTACCACTGGATGAGGAATTTGCGACACATGAGCAGGCAGTGTACTTCATTTGCAGGGGCCACTCTTCTCCAGTTTCATCTTGATTAGGTTCTTGCTCGCCTCCGAGAAGGAAGGAACGACGAGCATGCGCTATTTCGGGTAACCGGCACTGCTCATAAACATGTCTCTCCTGGATAACTTGAATTTATCAGTTGTAGGTAACGGCTGAAGAGTTCTCGTGCGTCGTATTATTTCATTCTTTGTGCCAAAGAATATCTGCTGCTCTGCCACTAACAGTTTTATTTCAGCACGTAGAGAACATTGAGCCTTTCATACCGATTGAAACATCACTGTACACAGCCGATGAAATGGATACACTTTACGAATACTACTTGGAAAAAAACTGGATTGCTTCTCAGACAGGCAAGTTTTTGCGTTCGAAGATTTTGTAAGCACGTGGGTTTTGAGGCAACTAAGAAATGCTACTTTTACCCAGAAATAATACCCACATCCGTCCCAAATATTCAAATAATATGAGCATTATTTTCAGGACGAACGGAGCGGGCAAAGAAGGAGTTGAGGTTTCTGAGCGCCGGAAGTCCTTACAATTATGAACGATTATGCGCTTTCATCTGAAATTTCGCAGTAACAGCGTAACTCTCATTTTGCCCAGTTAAGTGAGCTCGTCGCTTCTCTCTTACGAAGTGGAGTGTAAATCCATCAAGATCTACTTCGCTGACAAATTTCACAAAATTCGTTTCACTCGATGAGATGCAAACCGATATCAAGGCGCCAGAAATGTATAGTTAGTAAAAACTGTAGACTTTGGGAGGCAGTGCACTGTTTTGTATAAGTGATCAGTGAATTCGGTAAAATACAACTCATTTTCATACTATGTTGATGTTTTCTGTTTTTCCACCATTTCCAATGTCCTGATTAGATCATGTGTATGATAACTTATTGTTGAGATCAGGTCCATTGATGGCCTCGATAACAGCTGTACTGTTTGTGCACGATGATCCTCAAAGGACGGTAATTTGCACAGCTCCTTGACTTCTGATATTGATAATATCCGGTTTCCATATACAGCAGCTAAAATTTAGGAACACTTTTCAAGCCACGATCCTCAAATCCATAGAAGCAAAGTTTACTTTTAGGGTAGGGAAGCCATTTCTAGCAAGAAAAGTCAGTGAAAAAGAAGCATGATCATTCGAAAAGTTACCAATCGGCATTAGCCAGTCGATCTTCTCGCACTCCGTGATTATTGCTCTCAGGGCATTGATATCTTTGCCGAAAAGCTGACAGTTTGTAGCAACAAATATAGTGTCATTAAGTGGCTGAAGTGGAGTGTCTTCGAATACTTTCCGTATAATTCGGTTTCCATAATCTCGGAATTCGAGACCTTTCAAGCGTAATCTAAATTTGAAAGAATACTGTTCAAAAGGAATACGTCGAAAAAACGAATAAAAAAGCCAAAAAAAGCTTACTGGTTTCTCGTCAACCATTCTATTCGTTGTTTTGTCGCGAGTCTATGGCATATGCCCATCACTTGATAGCCCTCTTTCTTGATGATTCCTCGAATATGTGCCACCAGTGCAAGTTCCCATTCTGAGTACTGGAAAAAAACTCTTTGACTGTCTTTCCCCCACCACTTCTTACTTAACAGCCCCGCCTAGTTTAACGGGCGCCATAAATAAAAACTGAGCAAATTGCTGAACTGTCAAAGGATAAGAATAGGAAGGAAGCGCTTACAGAGGACTTCAGTTCCTTGAAGTAATCATGCACTTCTTTGAACGACGGGCACATCTTGCGCACCCTCGGTGCCATTGGCGCCAGTGCTGCATCGAAGAGTCGCCTTCGGTAAGGGCGAGGCCGTTTTATCGGCCAGTCCAATGCGCCCAGTTCCCGAACGGACATCTGCAGACTCACTCCAGGCACCAGTCTGATCAGCCTCTCCAACATCCGCATCTGCAAACGGTGTACACTCGTCATTAGTTTTATTTTTTTTTGGATTCCCCTTGCGTGCGCAACAGCCACCCGCGGGGAAAGCATAAGAATTAGCGAGTTCGTCGATGCTGACGCAGCTCTGGCGACAGATGTGTCAGTGTGAATGTACGGGGATTAATGTATAAGGGAAATTGCTACAGATGAGGAGACTTCGAGGAGCCAAAGCACCAACACATCAAGCAGACATCTACGATTTTCCTAGAGGCTGCGTCCGGTCCTTATTCTGGAACAGGGATTGGAAAAACTGAAGCAGTACCACGATATTACTAAATCGAATAGTATCAGATTTCAGCAGAGATTCACTTCGTTCATATCAAAATTTCTTGATGCATTCCGATGAGGTGCTGGATGAATAGTTTACTGATAAATAAAACACCTTTAAAAAAATACTTCACAAGCACATACAATCAAAGCACAAAAAAGTGAACAGTGATGCACTTATTTACAAGAATATGACAACATGTCAAACGTGAATATTTCAAAACCCGTATTTGAATGAGCAAGCACTTCAGCAAATGATAGGCAACGCACCCCGGATAAGCAACAGGTGACAGTTGGAAGCATACATACCACGATCAAAGGAATCTGCATATGGGGCAGCCCAGCAACACCATTAATCTGAGATCCCACTGTGTGGCAAATCGCGAAAAATGTCTGCTACATCGCAAAATTGCATACAGCAAGTTACAGAGGTTGTTTTACGTGAAGAAACACGTGAAGAACGTGAAGAAACAAAGCTCAAAAAGCATCTGAAAGGCAGAGTTTGTTTTATAGAGCATTCCTGCCACATAAGCCTCAAAAAGTTTTGAGAGAAGCAGAAAGAACGAAAAACGAGGGAAAGCGGGAACTGGGAGTCTCGAGAGCGAGAATTCTTTTGTACTGGATTCAAAATGGATGCCTTAATGCATTTTCCCGGGGTGACAACTCAAGAGAATAAAAGTGGTGTATACAGCAAGTTACAGAACATGAAGACACGTGAAGAAACAAAGCTAAAAAAAGCATCTAAAAGGCAGAGGTTGTTTTACAGAGCATTCACCAGTTCCATAGATAAAACGAAATACACAAGAAATAGACCGAATACATACGAAATAATCTTTTAGTTAGTTCGTACGTCATTTTTTAGCATTAGTTACCTACTGGCCTTAATGTATTCGGCGAATTTATCGTTCAAGCAGCACTTATTCTGGTCATACAGCATCACGCTACGATCGCTTTCCCCTTTGCCGAATGAAGCCATCAACGACTGTGCCTTCTTGCACAATCCCCGAAGATAGATACGTGCAGTAACACTTAGCCAACGTGTATCCATATGTCCAGCGAGACGAAGTGGCCCCAAACATGTCGGCGGCCATTCACTTATTGTTAACTGTAAAAACTTTAGCTTCAAGAACCTCACTGAACAATAACATCACTCTGCGACATGTCAACTATAAGAAAATTTCAGC